TCCCTCCCTCCCTCCCCCCCTCTTCCTTTCTCTCTTTTTTGCTTTTGTTTTGTTGTTTTTCAAAACAGAATTTCTTTGTGTAGCCCTGGCTGTTTTGGTACTTACTCTGTAGACCAGGCTGGTCTTGAACTCAGAGATCCATCTGCCTCTGCCTCCCAAGTGCTGGATTAAAGGTGTGTGCCACCACCGCCCGGCCACTTATCAGTTCTTACTTATATCTAGACCTTGAAGTTTTCCTCTAGAAGTTTCCAGGGTTTCAGGTTTCAAATCAAGGTCTTTGATGCAGTTTGAATTGACCTTGTGTGGGGTGAACTATGCGGATCTGATTTTGTTCTTCTGAAGCGGGAATCTAGTTTTGCCAGCACCGTGTGTTCGACCGAGCCATGTTGCGCGTGGCTTCTGTATGAATTTCTCTGTCTGAAAACACAGTTGTGGGTGACAGTTGGAAGGCCACATATGCATCCGGCGTGCACCGGTGAACAGGCGAGGAGGTCTGAGTAGCCTGGCTCCTTCTTATATTCTGAAGGTTTGTGAGAACGTGAGAAGGTGTATGCCAGTTCACCCTTAACACACACACACACACACACACACACACACACACACACAAAGGACATATTGAAACAAACAAGGACAGTTGAGGGGAGAGCAAAGCAGGGGTCAGCATGGAGTGGTGGCCTGCTCTTGAGGACCAAGTCACCCACCCAGGCTTCCTCAGGGCCTCTGCTCTCTGCCCTTGCCCACACTGCCACAGACCCCAGGAGACAGAAGTTAAGCTGCCTCCTTCCGCTTCAGTCTCAGCCAAAGCTTTCAAGGCTCAGAATGGTGCAGCTGGGAGTTGGCACACACCCACCCCAATCTGCTGTGGGAAACGCTTCTTCCTCAGAAGTCAGGTGTTAAAGGCTGCCAGCCCAGGCTGCTGACTGCCCTTGGCCAAGTCAGTGCGTGGGCTGAGCAGGGGCCTCTTCACAGGAGGGTGAGCACAGCCCAGCTCTCTGAGATACTGTAGCACCCTGCGATGGGCACAGCCTAGGATGGGGGTGGAGGTCAGGAGCCGGCAAAAGAAGGTAGCAGCGACAGGCCCAGACTCATTCATCAGCCCCGGCTCTGTTTCCGTCTGTCCGTCTTCCTTTCCCTCTCCGTCACTTGCTCACACAGTCATCTTGGATTCCTCAAACGACAGAACTGGTTAATGAACATCCTTATGACAAGAAGAAGCCCCCAGGACAGACACTCCCACATACTCCCCAGAGGAGGGCAGTTACTACCATGGGTGACCAATTGAGCAATAAAGACTTCTTGGACTGTGCAGAACCAGGCCTGAGCTGATGATCAACCTAGGCACACCTTGAGCGGGCCTGCAGAGTTAAAGACGGGTCTTGTTTCTGTCTCCTTGCTTCCTGTTTAGCGCCCGACTTCATGTCAGACAGACGAAGCCACCGGGCTCTTTATTTCCTCTTTCAAATGTGGCCACAGGG